ATGGGTTTTAGGATCCTTCTGCACATACCAAAATCTGTGGATGTTCAAGTACTTATATAAAATAGTATACTATTGTGTAGAACCTACACACATTCTTCTGTATACTTTAAATAATCTTCAGATTACTTATAATTCCAAATACAATGTAAATACTATGTAAATACTTGTTGTGTTACATATTTACTATGTAAATAGTTGTTTTCTCTATTGTTTAGGGGATAAAAACAAGTAAAAGAAAATATGTACATATTCCATACAGATAAAATGTTTTCATGTGTTTGTGATGTAAAATAAATTGAATCTGGAGATAGAACCTGCAAATGCAGCATCTGCAGATACAGAATAACAACTGTATTTTTTAAATCTGAAAAACATTTAGAATATATATATATATATATATATATATATTACACACACATATATAATTTCTGCATATTTGTAAGTACTTATGCATTATTTGATTAACACAAAACAATTCTTCTGAAATGACTTTTAGTTTTTTAATTAAATGTTTTTCTTAATTTAAAAAAGCATTTAAAAAACAATAAAATATAGTAAAGTTTAAGTTTTCAATATAAGTAGAGAGCAGGAATGGTATACTGTAACCAATTCTTCAAAAATTGCTCTTATATCACTAGATGAAAATAATATTCAAGATAAAGTTTAATCAAGTATGCTTTTCATTGGAATAGCCATAAGTCATACCTAATGAGTATTTTAATTTATTGTATTTTCTTCTAAATTTTTTTAAAAATGATAAACATAGAAGTAATGCATAGACCAAAAATAATTATGATTTTACTTGTTGTTTCAAAGTGCTTATTCCTAGGCCATTGAAGCCTGTCAGCATATTTTCAATCTAATGTACCAAGGTCAAATACTCTCTAGAGATGTTTCTTAATGGAATTTTCAGACGAGTCTATGCTATTGTACAATAGACTAAACAATTTGATGACCAGCACATTTAGGATATTTGTTATATAATTTCAGAGAGCTTTGGAAATCCAGGGGGACCTTTTTAATGCTAAATACCATCTTTGGTTCTTCTTTCTAAAGAAAAATGGAAAATCATTTTGCTGACCTTTTTTAAACAGACAAAGTTAAGATAAATTTTAAGTATAAATTTAATTCTTTCAGTAATTTCTTCAATAGGCTTAAAAGCATGTATGAAAACATTCAAATGGACAGTGAGGAAAACAAGATAGAGTGCCTGAAAGAACTGAGCTGTCATTCATTTGTTAACAATTGTGCAAACATCAATATTATTAAACAATGTTATAGAAGGCAAATCATCCAAACTTATGAACATGACATTAAATTTAAGAGAATTTTGTTATTATAATAAAGGATATTTTAAATCATGTTGTATTTTAAATAATGTTGTCTTGAGCCATTTTATTATTATGGCAAGAATACTCTAGCATTTATCAAAATGAAGTTTGATAGAGAATTCAGTCCATTAAATCATTTCCTTCCTTATATTCTGTCTTGCTTATTGTGTTTTTCTTTTATTTCCCCATTTCTTTATCCAGTGCTTCTTTCTACATCTCATTTTTTGACTCCTTTCACTTCCCTGCTGCATTAATGGCTGTTATTAAAAAAAAGTCTTCTTTTTGTATTCCCAAAGTCTCTAACCTGGATATTTTGATGAGATCTTATTTGCCAAACATATGAAATATTAGTCTTCTAATCTAGACTCTTTCCAAAAGCTCATTTCTGGTTCCTGTCTCTTTCCAATTAAATTATCACTAAATTTCAAAAATTCATCAGCAATATCTGGTAAATCTCTTTTCTCTTCTCCAGCATCCATTGCTAAAGCCATCAATAAGATAGATAAGATCTATTATTCTAGTCAATGATATCCAATGGATTTTCTGCAGTGATAAAAATATTCTTTATCAGTGTTGTTCAATACAGTAGCTATTATGATAATTATTGAACACTTGAAATGTAATTAGTACAATTGAGGCACTGAAATTTATTTAAATTCAATTAACTTTAAATTTGAGTAGTCACACATGACTGGAAACTGCAGTATTGGACAGCACAGCTCTAGAATATTTTCTGTCTGAATTGATCTCAGAAGCTCCAGGATAAAGACCTTCTAATTGATCTGAAACAGGAGATGGTACATTTTACTCTGCCATTTAAAGACTATCAATACCTATTCCTATGCTAATACTTAGTCCATATTTTATAGACACACTTGTATAGTCCACTTTGATCTGGTTCCATTACACTTTTCCAATCAAGTTTCCATACATCTCATTCTTACTTAATCAAAATCATCAAATTGATTTATTTTTGGTCTGGATCCATAGCTTATGCTTCCTCTAAACTCATTATTTCACTGATATAATATTATCCTCTACAAATTCCTTGTTCAATCTATATTTCCAAATTTTCTTAGCTGTGAAACTTTAGCTTGAATTGTCACTTATTTCACCAAGATTTCTCCAATTTCCCTTGCTAGAAGCAAGCTCTCCTGCCACTGAATCACTTTAGTTATCTATCATTATTTCCTCTTGACATATATTTATCCCATATTCACATAAGTTTATAATCTCCTTGAGGGCATGGTCTATATCTGACTTATCCATAATCTTCAGTCTTTGGTCCACTGGATCATGGAATATTCAAAACAACCAGTTATCAAGTGAATAGATAAATAATGAGTAAATGAATAAGGATATTTAAATTTGAAATTTTTATTAGCAACACAAGAACATTTCAAATGAAGTTAATTAAGCCATTAGATAAATATGAACTTATAAATGGGTATGTACCATATATGGAGACATGTTATCTACATGCTCACAAATATGCAAACAATCTGATTACAATTTAAATGATTTGCAAATCTGATAAAATTTTATATGTATATGTAACATATATTATTGTTTAAATATGTCCTGCAAAAGTATTTCAGATAATTAACTGTTTTCTACTTGCCACATGGAAAGCAATCTTAACCATATAACCATATACTACAAAACAAAACATTGTGTGGAATATTTATTATAAACCAGAATATTTTGTTAAGCTGAGAAGACTTTTCCCATCGTGAGCTTTTGTTTGCTAACTGTATTCAGTTGAAGTGAACTGTTCAATGTTATTAAATTATAACGTATTGAAGTATAACAGTTACTAATATATTTAAAATTTGATAATCCATTTAATATTTTGTGAACTCTCTGGAAAATCTTAAGAAGTTCATTATTTTCAAGGAAATATTAGTTTCAAATAGAAAATAGGTATATTACTAGCATAAGCACAATCCAATCCATAATAAAATTTTCAGTAATATTTTTATTATACAAATCAATGATTCTAATGTAAATAGAGTTAAAAACAAACTTCCCCAAGGATGGCAATAAATGGGGTTCAATTGCTAAAGAAGACTCATAAGACCACTTATAATAAAAACAATTTGAGATCTCTAGGAACTAACACTCATGTCACAGAAACCAAATAATTGGACTTACATCTTACAACATAAAATGGTGGCCAATGATTAGTATTCAAAATATGAGTCAGCTGTTCATTAAAAACACAAAGACAACCCAATGAAAGGGAAGTGAAAACTCAAAATTATACATAAATACATATACATTAAATACTAATTTATTAATACTAATTTATTAATGATTTAGTAATGACATAAAACATAATACTCCAAAGATTGCCAAAAATTTTAAAGTATGTTAGAAAACAATCAGTATTCAGAAAATTGAAAGAACTCATCCTGCCATGATGGTGTAAAATGGCAGACATGAATAAAGGTAATTCGACAAGCTTTGAAATAATTAAAGGATGTTTATACTTTAACATTAACTCTGAATTTTACAGAAATATACTAGAAAAAAGGGGAAAGAGTTGCATGATTATATAATGTAACACTGTCATGAAAAATTAGAAGTAGTATACTGCCTGTGTAAAAAAAAAAAAAAAACAATAGATCAATAAATTATGTATCTCATTAATGAAATATTTATCAGAGGTTAAAATGAAGAAGTACTCATGTATCATGAGTCAGGATTGTAATGTGTATGTGCTATTAATACTGTTTTTTTAAATTAATTTTCTTAATATGCATGAGGCCCTGGTTTTGATCCCTAACACATCAATAAGGAAGGAAGGGGGGAAGGGAGGGGAAGAAAGAAGTAAAATTTCAGAAAAACACAAATGATATTGCATCACTTTTATGAAGCTTGAAAAACAAAAATATATAATACATTGTTCGTGGATCCATACACATATGATGAAATAGAAAAGTTAGGAAAGATAAACACCAAAGATAAACACATCATCTAGATAGTGTATACTTCTGAGGAGAAAAGAAATGTTCTCAGCAAGGAGTCAAAAATGATTTATTTCTTCAAAAACAAAGACTTGTGGTGAATATGGTAAATGATAACTCAACCATTTGGAAAATAAAAACTGACTCCCAGAATGTGGGTCATAGTGAAGTAAAAGACTTGAATCTAAAAAAAATATTCTAACAAATATATAGCAAGGCCATGGAAGTCAAACTGTTCATTCACCAAATGTAAAAACTGAAGAGTAAAACAATGATTTAAAAACTAAAATGGATTGTGTAAATTTTACATAAGGAAATATGCCTGGGTTCCTTAATAAATTCTTCCTAAAGTTATTGCCTGGTTTTAGAATGTGACCCAGCCTTGGAATAAAAACTGAGAGAAGTATCCTAAGCTGCCAGCCACAGTGGAAACATTTTCAAAATCAAGAGCAGTTAACTTGGGTGGCTCCAGTTGTAATATTTCTCAACAATATTCACAAACAGAAAAAAGCTCTGCCTGAAATAATAACTGATGTTAGGAATATGTCATAGAGTTAAACATAAAGAAAATCTGACATTGAAATAACATTTTTCATGATTTATAGTCTGTCCATTGTAGGTAGAAATGTGAGGAAAGTAAGAATTTAAAGTAGAGAAAATAAAGATGAAGAACAGGATAATACCCCCAAAGTGAAGCAGGGTGCTCACTTCAGCAGCACATATACTAAAATTGGAATGATGCAGAGAAATTAGCATGGCCCCTGTGCAAGGATTACATGCAAATTCATGAAGCATTCCATATTAAAAAAAGTGAGGCAGGAGTGGATTGAGGACCTGTTCCTAATTGAATAAGGTTATGGAATTTTGATATTTATAATTAACTGAACACTTAATTACAAAAGTGAGACTATTTTTATGACTAAATGTGGCTAATGATCTTTTTATTACCTGTGCATGATCATCAGCCTTATGGGATCTGCCTAAAAGTGCATCCTACAGAGGGATAGAGTTAGCACTACAGCTAGTTTAAAGGGGCAGTGAGAGGATCAAACATTTTTATATTTTTTCCTTAAGAGCTGCAAGTTGTGCAACAAATAGATTATATGATTATCTTATGTAAAACAAACTCGGGGCACAAAGGAACATGTTTTTTCCATACAGTAGTTATAATATAGACCTTAATCTGCTTCTCGATGATTTACAAGCATTATTACAAGAAACTGAAAGAGAGAGATTGAATTTGTGTGTGTGTGTGTGTGTGTGTGTGCGCGCGCGCGCGCCTCTGAGCTCAATCCCCAGTACCAAAAAAAAAAAAAAAAATGCGCGCACACACATACATACACACTGTATACACACACACACACACATATATATATATATATATATATATATATATATAAAATATTTGTGTGTGTATGTATATAATATATATAGTTACTTGGCATCTCTGATAGAATTTCCAGAATTTTTTTCAAACTTTTTGTGTTAATTACCAATGACTACACATTTCAATCCTATGTATTTGTTTTGAAATAAACAACCAGAAAATGATACTTGGAAATATAACAGAAAATTGGGGGCTCAATTAAAATAGGGACAACAAATGTGTTAGCTCAGGTTATATTTTTTTTTGCCTGAATCATTTCTATAAACATTACCAACGTTTGAGGCTTCTTATGTGAGAAGCTATAATACTAATGGAACAATTCTTATGGTAATTTCAATGATTATTACACAATGGTGAAGCATAGAAAAATCTCATTTGAGTTATTTGGTTGATACAATATTTCCTGCAAAAGGGCCTATTGCATGCAAAATATTAGGTGATATCTAAGCAATATCTACAAAGTTGGGAAACATGAAAATTATAAGGTCATAATATAGGAAACTATTGCATATAACTAACCAACTGTTTGATGAAGCCAGAATGTGGATTTTACCCACAGGAATGATTAGCTATAGAGTCATTTTATGGTTTGGATGTGAGGTATCCCTAAAAGCTCACGTGTGAGACAATGCAAGAAGGTTCATAGGAGAAATAATTGTGTTGTAAGAATCCTAACCTAATCAGTGATTTAATGCCATGATACAGATTAACTGAATGATAATTAAAGCAGTAGAGTGTGGCTGGAGGAGATAGAAATTGGGGCATGGCTCTGGGGTATATATTTTGTATCTGGAGAGTGGAGTCTCTACCTCCTGGTCACCATGATGTGAGCTGCTTCCCTCTGCCACCTTCCCCTGCCATGATGTTCAGCAGAGGGAAGCAGCTCATGTCCCTGAGGAATGGAGCCAGACTTGTATGGGCTTAGACCTCTGAAACTGTGAGCTCTCAAACTCTTCCTCCTCTACAATCATTCTGGTTGGGCCCTTTAGTCACAGTGGTGAAAAAGCTGACTAAAACAGTGATCTATATCAAAATATCAACATGGGTGCTCAAACTTGGGTCCAGGAAGTACTATACATCCTATTTTGCTTCATATACTTCCCTGTTTCTCTCTTTCCTATGACCTATGCCTCTGAAGACATTTGATATTTTTCCAGCACTTTAAGTTACTTTGCACCTTTAGAATAGCATGAACATATACTCTTATCAGTTAAATTTTTCTGAGTGTGCATAACACATAAACACACATTCTGGTTCTTTAATTTTTGAGGGGGTTACCAGGGATTGAACTCAGGGGTACTCAGCCACTAGGCCACATCCCCAGCCCTATTTTGTATTTTACTTAGAGAAAGGGTCTCACTGAGTTGCTTAGCACCTCCCTGTTCCTGAGGTTGTCTTTGAACTCCCGATCCTTCTGCCTCAACCTCCTGAGCTGCTGGGATTACAGGGTGTGCCATAGCACCCAGCACATATTTTGTTTATTTTCAAAGTATATATTATACTAATGCTTCATGTATTGCATTCATTAGAAAACATGCACATATATTAGAAAATGTAAATTTTTGAGAAAATGATTAAATAAGCAGTATTTCCACAAAGACATTCAAAAAAGGGTTTAGCATATGATTCTAGCTTTGAAATACTTCTATTTGAAGTGAATAAAAAAAAACATTAATTAGATGCCACTAGTGTTTCAGAGTGTGCTGCTTCTATGAGACCTCATTTTAGAAGTCTGATGATTGTAGAATTTGTTAACTAAGGGAATGTATGTGATAGAATTTAGCAGGTCTTCAAAAATAATCCAAGTAGATGATATAAACTCAAGCATAAAATCACACAAATATTTTGATTACAGACATATGGAAGGATAGGATCATGTTAATGATATATATCAGAAATGAAAATATTATAACAGTTACCAGCCTCTAAGATGTTGAAAGAAACACTAGTATATTGCATTTGTGGGACAGACATATAGGACATCTGCAAATACACTACCATTATTCCAATAAATTAATTTGTAAATTACAGAAAGGTAGAGCCAAAGACTTCTGCAAAGAGCAGCTTTTCTTTTTCTCTAAAGGTCAGATGGAGATGTACTATGAATAATATCTTGCTTAAATGAACACTCCTGACAATCCAAAGAGTGCCTAACATAGGGGCAATAGACAAAATTGTCCCAACTAACCAGACATATGCTTTCATATAAATTATGTTGGTTCATTCAAGCATTTAAGTGTGTGTAGTGACTATTGAGAATAACTGTAGATGTTCAGGTTTTTTTATATTTATTTTTTAGTTTTATGTGGATACAAGATCTTTATTTTTATGTGGTGCTGAGGATTGAACCCAATGCCTCATGCATGCTAGGCGAGTACTCTACCACTGAGCCACAACCTCAGACCATAGATGTTCAATTTGTGATTAAGTGTAGAGACTAAGATCATCATAAAAGTTAATAAGTAGTCTTTATAATGTGAACTTGCAAGGAAGGCAAAAAAAGAAAATAACTATAAAACACTAAAACAATGTAGAAAAAATAAAAGGTTGTGAATGGATTCTATACACAATCATTTTTCTTAGTTATTATTGGAGGAAGTTAGCAACTATTTCCTGAAGACGGCGTGGAGGTTAAAATTATAATCCCATTGCAGTATTCCTTAATATTCCTGGAACTACAGTTCTCAAAGAACTATATCTGCATTCAAGAACAGACTTTTATGTATAAATATGATCTAGAGAAAACATCAGCAAATTACAATTGGTGAGTCACATCCAGCACACTGCCTATTTTATAAAAGAAATTTTATGGGAAAATAGCCACTCCCAGTCATTTATGTATTATCTATTATTGCTTTCATAATACAATATTAGAAGCTTGGATGCAGTGGCACACACTTGTAATCCCAGTGGCTCAGGAGGCTGAGGCCAGAGGATCATAAGTTCAAACCTAGCCCCAGCCACTTAACTCTCTGAGCAACTCAGTGAGACTCTGTATCCAAATAAAATGGAAAACCGGGCTGGGGATGTGGCTCGGTGGTTAAGTGCCTCTGGGTTTAATACCTGGTATAAAAAAATAATAAAATATTAGAGTTGATTATGTACAATATAAACAATATGTCCTATAAAGGGTAAAAATATTTATTTTTTTGACTTTTTTTACTGTCCTTTTTTTTTAAATTAAAGAACATAAGTCTGCAATTAGAGACCAACAAGCAACTTCAGAACCTGTCCATTTGTGTCTCCATCAGAGGCACAAAATTAATTGTTCCCTCTTACTTATACCAACCATTATTTTTTTTAATTCTAATTTGTTATATATGATAGCAGAATGCATTACAGTTCATATTACGCAAAACAGATGCTGAATGTTTTCTCTGATATAAGGAGGCTGATTCGTAGTGAAGTTGGGAGGGGGAACAATGAAAGATTAGAAGAACTCTAGATAGGTCAAAGGGGTGGGAGGGGAAGGGAGGGGGTATGGGGATGGGAAAGATGGTGGAATGACATGGACATTATTACCCTAAGTACATGCATGAAGACACAAATAGTATGATTATGACTTTGTATACAACCAGAGATATTTTTTGGCTTTTTACAGAAAAAAATCTCATTAATGGTTCTCCAGGAAAGATAGAAACTCTTAAAGTCTTTGAGAAAACTAAGTATTAGTGCAAACATATCTAATGATTAAACACATATTTCCTATATTGGAAAATAATTTTGACATTTATTTAAACTTTATGATATTTTACCCTAAATGTGTTACATATGCACATATAGAACTGCATGGTTTACAGTATACAGTTTGTTCCAGAATGTAGACTCAGCCATTCTCCAAAAGTCCTTTGGGGTTTCTTTTCTGATTTTTTTAAACAAATTTTGTTTTCAGGACCACAGTGTTTTGATATTCTAGATCCTGGTGTCTGAAGAAATATTTTACAATTGAGAATTTCTATTGATATTCTTGAAGCAGACTCACTTTGTAGCAGATTTTCCAAAGGACTGCATTTGCTGTATTTGCCCTGGATCCTCATGCTACTTATCACACATGACTGACTTAGGAATGAAATGGATCATAAACCATTCAGTACCCTTTTATTTTATTTTAAAAGTTGAATTTGTGTCTTACTGAAATATCTTAAATAATTTACCTGGATATTTCATTTTTTTTATAATGGAGCTTCCCATCTTTTCAGTAAACTGTTCATTTGTACCAACTCTTTGCATTTCTCTCCAGGTCAAAATGTCTTTGTATAAATGTTCTTGTGTCTTTAATGATGTTATATGTCAGTAGAACAATGATTTCCACAATTTACTTCCCATTAGCTATGTTACTGTTAGGGTCAAGTTCTGAGTAGATAAAATTCCTGCATTGTATGATTGAGGTGAATACATTCATGTATTTTATTCAGTAAT